GTGGCAATAGGATGGAGGTGTTAGGGGTGGAGTGTATAGGAGGGGAGGAGGGGTAGGAAAGGGGAGAGGGATAGGCGGGAGAAGAGAAGGGGGTAGAAAGAAAGTAGAGGTGACGCTAACCCGCACTTCGGGACAGGTAAGGGTGTAAGATAAAAGATAGGTTCTTCATCCCCAGGTGGGGACGGAAGCGGCACCTAGAGATAGGTGACAAATATCCCTCCTGAGAGGGCTGGTTTTTGTGACCACAGTAGCAGTCAGTAGTCGGGCCCACCGGACAGAGTCCTACAGTGTCCAACCATTGACTGCCCGTAGATTGAAGTTGTTCACGCGTTGTGGGGGTTAGTGGTAGTGTCCTTGAGTTATCTCCAATTCAAGGTGTGTTTTCCGGAGGTGTTTTGGGTGAGTGTGTCCAAGGTTAACCTACGGGTGTGCCATCACCTTGAGAGTGTTGGGATGTCGTTTGCCTGGGTTAGTGTAAGCAGTAGGCCCTATCGTGAGCCCCCAAGGATCGTCATTATTGTCTTGGGGATAATACCCTACCTCCCCTCGGCTTTCCAACCCCTGTCCCCGCTCTGATGTCAGGTTCTGAAGTCTGGAGTCCCGGTTCCTTGACCCCCGTAAAATCTATGTCGCCCCCTGCGTATATATACATTTGTGTGTGTTTCGCTTCCCTCCTCCTGCCACCCCTATCAGGCTCATAATGCTTCGTCTCCTTTCCCCACACCATCTCCACCCCCCACGGGAACCTGTGAGCAAGAGTCCTCTATCAAGTGAGGTCACCACTGGCAGAAGTATTCGTTGTAGTGGAGCGTTCCTCCATATCTGCTTGGTAGAGTTGAGGCCTCCGGCCCTGCTTAGTATGGCAGCATGTGTCCCTTTGGCCATGTGGACCCCCCCATAGGCTTTCATATGCCTACCCCCCGCCCAAATTAGTCCAACTTTATTGTTTCCCCTGTGGGCCATATTCTGTAGAAGGGTGGCATTGGGTGGAGGAGTCCGGCAATGGGTTTGGCCGCCTGAGGTGCCAAGTTTGGTGTCCATCATTCCATACCCCGGTGTGAAGAGGTCCGTCTCGGCCGTCCCTTTCCCCACTCATAGTGCGGCAGGTACAGCGGGTGTATTAATCCCAGTCAGCCGGCTAAATGGTCGCCCCAGGTCAGGGGGTGGAAGCAATGTTCGTGAGTTACTGTGTGCATCAGTTCCGTCTCGTGCATCTGGTCCCCAAGTATCTTAGTTGAGCCAGGGCGGTTTCCTATACATTTATTCTTCTGGGTTGGATGGGTGTGGGGGTGCAGTGTATGGCCGGTTCTCTCTAGGGCCCATCCGCGGGTTTTGTGGCTGCCTCTAGGGTCTGAGTTCCTGGTCTAGAGACTCCAGTATCCAGTCTGGAACCACTCTGGGCGGTAAGTCCAACCTTTGGAGGAAACACAGAATTTCTTCTGGCCTGCGTGCTGCGACCCATTCGTTGCGGTGCTTGGAGGCTGAATGGGAAGCCCCACTTGTAGGGGATATTGCGTTCCCTTAGTGCTGAAGTAATGGGTCTGAGGGCTTGCCTAGCCTCTAGCGTGGTTGGTGAGAGGTCATTAAACAAGGAGACCTCTGCATCCTGGTACCGCCATGTGGTTCGGGACCTGGACTGCTGCATTATGCGTTCTTTGAGGGGAAATGAATGCAGGCAGCAAATAATGTCCCGGGGTCCCCTTCTCTAATCCTGGGTCGCAGGGCCCTGTGTGCCCGCTCAAAGCGGATGTCTGGTGGGGTGTTGTTCCCTAGAATCTGGCGGAAGAGTTCGGTCAGCATCTCCTCTACGTTCTCTGTCCCCTCCCGCTCAGGCACCCTGCTTACCTGCGCAGGAACAGTAACATGTTGCCCTGTCTTGTTAGGGCTGTGTCTGTTGCTGAAGCCTGTTGTTGTGTAGCTTGGGCCTGGGTTTCCAGGGCCTGGATGCGCCCTTCTTGTGCTTCTAGGTCCGTGCGCAGTGCGGTGACCGCGGATGTGAGGGATGCCGTGAGAGTGGTGGTCAGGGACTGCAGGTCAGATTTAGTTACCATGTTGGCTGCAAGTCTCCTGATCTCCTCCCCAATATCAGCCAGCGTAGGCTGTTCCTGCTCTGAGCAGGAGGAAGCAGGGGAGACAGGCGCCATCTTGGATCCATGCACCTCGCGGCTCGGTCCCAGCAGGGTTTGGAGATAGCCGTCCATCTGGCCTGATGACGGCACTGGCGGTGCTGCCTTGGGAGTCTGCTGATTCTCCGGTCTCCTAGTGCGTCCCATTTGGGTGAGATGTCGGACGGGAAACGGCTATTAGTAGCTAGGTGGCGAGGAGCTCGGGACTCACGTCCATGCTAGTCGGACTTCAGGCCACGCCCCCCTCATTAAAATATTTGATATAATTTTTGAAATATTCATTTGTACATGTTGGACTACTTATGTTTGTCAAGATACATTTATCATACTCCCCTTAAGTGCTAGTGTATCAAGAAAAAACACTTCAGAAGCAAAGCATGTGATATATTGCATTACTGTCCAGCTTTAAAAATATTCCTTTACATAGCTTTGCTAAATTCCTTTTCTTTAGGTCATCTACCCTTTTTTTTAATGCTGTATTATACTTCTTGCTTGTTCCACATAACAGTGATATAATATCCTCCTTGCTCTAAATAAATCTTAAAAAAGTAATAAATCTGATTTAAGTTTTGGCATTAGCGACCTAGCAAAGGTTACAATTTATTTTATTCCTGGCAAAAAATAGATGACTCCATGATCCAGGATTAAGAATGGAAAATGAAAAAGAAAGAAAATCAATAATCTTGACTGCTGTGTTTACCTAGAAACCAGCCACGGGTGTTAGTCTGACAGCAGTTATCAAACCATTGGTATCTGTGAAGAACATAAAGAAGCTGCTCATAGCAGCAAAGCTTTCTCGAGGCACTTCCAGCTGCAGTAAAGGAAATGTCTCATTCAAATAAATGAAAACAAAAATAAAATTATTTTTTAGTTAACCCCTTAAGCACAGAGCCAAGTGTACATGTTGTGAACAAAACAAAATGTAAACAAAACATGGCATTTGCGCTACATGTCTGTCCAACCGTAATTCACCTCTTTCATAGTAAATGCACCCACCCTTATTATATATCATTTTATTCAGGGGAAACAGGGCTTTCATTTAATATCAAATATTTAGCTATGAAACATAATTTAATATGAAAAAAATGGGAGAAAATACGATTTTTTTTTTATTTTTTTAGTTCTACATGACATTTTAACGGTCAATGTCATAATACTGTTTGCTTTTACTGCAATAAAATACACATATTTGTATTCAGCAAAGTCTCACATGTAAAACAGTACCCCATATGTACAGGTTTTATGGCGTTTTGGGAAGTTACAGGGTCAAATATAGCACGTTACATTTGAAATTGAAATTCGACAGATAGGTTATGTTGCCTTTGAGACTGTATAGTAGCCCAGGAATGAAATTTACACCCATAATGGCATACCATTTGCAATAGTAGACAACCCAAGGTATTGCAAATGGGGTATGTCCAGTCTTTTTTAGTAGCCATTTGATCACAAACACAAAAAAATTCAAAAAAATTCACTTTTACTGGTGATATCATCGTTGTAATACATTTTACTGTTTTGAAACACTAATATTTGTGTTCAGCGAAGTCTCCCGAGTAGAACAGTACCCCCCATGTACAGGTTTTATGGTGTCTTGGAAAGTTATAGGGTTAAATATAGTGCTAGCAAATTAAATTCCCTTTACTTTCGGCATGGGTTGTCAGGCAGATCCCGCTAATTGCAATTAATTAATATACCTAATTATATAAAAATATTACATAAATATATATGTAGAATTAATATATGTATATATATATATATATATATATATATATAACAAGAAAAATAATCCTGCACTCCACTTTCAAAGCTCTACTTGCCCGGTGCTTGTCCAGCAAAACACAGAAAAATAAAACAAGATAGCACTCCCAGGACTTATTCAATCAAAAAATATATAAAACTTAACTTTTAATCAATATCCAAAAAACAGATCGACGTTTCAGTCTGTTAACCACAGACTTTCATCAGGGTCCTGATGAAAGTCTGTGGTTAACAGACTGAAACATCGATCTGTTTTTTGGATATTGATTAAAAGTTAAGTTTTATATATTTTTTGATTGAATAAGTCCTGGGAGTGCTATCTTGTTTTATTTTTCTATATATATATATATATATATACGTATGTGTATATATATGTATATATATATATATATATATATATATATAATTTTTTTAAAATATTTTTATTTATATATAGTTATATATATAGTGATATATATGTATATATTTATGTATATAGATATATTTATATATATTATTTTGTTCTACGTGTATTTTGATATATATATATATATATATATATATATTAATATCACAATACAGTTAGAACGAAATAACATACATCTATATATTTTTTAATTATTTATTTTTAATAATTTTTTAAATTAAATATTTTTACGTATTTACATATTTTTTTATATTAGATATAAATATATATATAACAATAATTATATATATATATATTTAATCAGTATATATATATATATTAATAGTAAAATACACCTAGAGAGTGTATGTGTGTGTATGTATATGTGTATATATATATATACTTAAATCATATATATATATATATATATATATATATATATGGTCTAAGTATATATATTATTTTTTTTACACTTTATTAACTTTAATTTAATTGATTTCCAGCCAGCAGGGGGACTACCTGTCATTACAGGCAGTCCCACTGCTGGCAATGCAGCAGGCAGCTAACCCGGCCATGTGATTGTGAGGTCCTCGCAAGGACCTCACTCTCACATGGCCGGGGGGGCTGCAGGAGGGAGGATCTGCCGTGGGGGGCTCCCTGGGAATCCCCCCAACCGCGATCGCCGGCGTGGGGTCGCCAGCGACCGGGTAAGTAAAAAAAACGGAGGGAGTACTATTACTCCCGGTGGTGTTTAGAGCCGCCTAAAATAGGACATAATAGTACGCCCTCCGGTCTGAAGGGGTTAAGTAAATGGAATAATAGAAATACGGCACAACAGTGGCAAGTGAGTGAGCAAAAATAACCTAAGATCACTTTATATGTATATTATTCTTTCGTACACAGTGACCTATCAACAAGATCATTAGAACTAATTTGATCGTTTTTAATTTTGTTTTAAGCTAATATTTTAATAGGTTTCAATATGTATCAAGCTAGTCTGTACAATCGGTGATTTTCAAACCCATATTCTATAATTGTGCTAGTACTGCTACTAGTAAAATATCTCTCTGGCACCTATTCCTGTGCCTTCGAGGGCACCTATCAATGGCTGTAAAGGCTAACTTTATCCTAAAAAAACTTTTATGTGGAATTAAAATAAGTAGTCAAGGATATCTGATATTGTGAGTGGATCCTGGCGGTTCGGTAACAGTTTAGCTGCATGTCTATTTAATAGCCAGAGGACGCCACTGAGCGCCTAACAGTCGCGTTTCACCACCAGGTTTATCAGATGGGAGCAGTTTTGGGTAAGTAACCGGTATAAGTATGAGGATCTTTCATCTGATGGATCAGATTTAAATTACTCTCATGGGAGATTAGACCAATCAGGTTAATTATATGTAAAATAATTTGATTAGGGTATTCTATTTCGTACATTTAGAAAAAGGAGATGAAACTCCACTCAATTTAAATTCCCATAAAATGTATCAAGGAGAAATATAAAATGAAAATGAAAAACATGAAAAAAAAAGAATAAAAAAAATTACCTTTACTTTGAGGAACAAAATAATGTGTTAACTACAGTCAGTGAAATGATTAAATGTAAGGGGAAATGTATAGCTGAATTTGTATTCCTATTACGATTAAATAACTGTATTTTCCAAAGTATTTTCATCAAATTTTTCAAAATGTACATTCTAAAGACAAAGTTTCACCAGTAAAAAAGTAAATGAGTTCTGTGATTTCAAGGCATTGCATATATAAAATAAAATGTATTTGAAAATATTGTGACAAAAGGAAGATGTATTAATAGAACTCATAAATGCTTGTAATAATAAATAATATACATACAGAACATTTTGCAATAATTGCATTGCGAAAAGCTTGATTGTAAACCTATGAATTTATATTTATTTATTTTCTACACACATGTATTTGTAACGGATCACCTGGCACCCTGACTGGTTACCTCCATTGAAGGATGCTCCTAGCTCTTTACTCTGCGCGGGCCAGGGCCTTAACACATGGAGGCGGGCAACTGGTTGCAGGGGTTGCAGGGCTGCGACCCCTGCGACCGCGGTATGTACGCCAGTGCATGCAGATGCACACACACTTAAAGGACCACTACAGACACCCAGATCACATCAGCTCAATGAAGTGGTCTGGGTGCCAAGTCCCTCTAGTTTTAACCCTGCAGCTGAAAACATAGCAGTTTCAGAGAAACTGCTATGTTTCACTGAGGGTTAATCCAGCCTCTAGTGGCTGTCTCATTGACAGCCACTAGAGGAGCTTCCGCGATTCTAAGACACTGAACGTCCATAGGAAAGCATTGAGTAATGCTTTCCTATGGGCGGTTTGAATGCACGCGCGGCTCTTGTCGTGCATGCGCATTCGGAGCTGAGAGGCAGAGGGATGTCCAACGCCAAGGGAGTCCGGCGCTGGAGAAAGGTAAGTGCTGAAGACACACACTCTCACGAACAGATGCATACACACTGGCGAACAGACACACACATTTACTGACAGAGACACACTCAGCGACAGACACACATACACACTCACTTACAAAACATACACTCTCACTGACAAACACACACTCATTAATAGACATCAAACAGACTCACAGACACACACACTTACACTAACACACACACTAACACACACATACTAACACTAACACACACACAAACAGTCACACACTAACACTCACACACTAACACACACACTAACACACACTAACACACACACAAACAGTCACACACTAACACTCACACACTAACACACACACTAACACACACTAACACTAACACACACACACTTAGGGATGCTGGCGCCGGAAGATTACGTCATCTTCCAGCTCTGGCATCAGTGCAATAAAAAAGGTATTACAAGATCATCACTGGACTAATACGGCTATAATCTCTACTTGTATACTATC